AAACTGTCCTTTTTCCTCTGTGTCATTTATATAACACTCAGCATCACTTCTCAGCATCGTTCATCTTTTAAAGATTACTATAAATGCCATGCTTTTTGTGAAACTTGCCTCAACCAATCTGTTCCTCATGTGTATTTTCCTCTGAATTTCTGGATGCTATGACCATGGCAATGTGATACTTGATTACTTGCTAATGTTGTGTTTTAACTGTTTGGCACAATGCTTGACCTCTTCTGGTATAAGAACGGTATTGTCAATGCATAGGTTCCAAATCCAACTAGTCAAAGAAATTTGGGTAAGGCACCAGTAGGGAAATCCTTTGAAATAAATCCAGTCTAAATGCAAAGACAGTTTCAGTGACCTCAATGGTAAGAGAATGGTGGTTACAGTAGACAGAGTTTTTCAATCTCTGTACTATGACATTTATGGATAGATAATTCTCTATTATGGGGAGCTGTCTTATGCACTGTAGAATTGGGTATTAACATCCCTGGCTCCTACCAACCACAAACCAGTAGGCTTTTCTCTACCATATTTATGAAAAACAGATATGTCTTAAAATGTTCCCTGAAGGCAAAGTCATTCATAATGGGAAACCACTGCAGTGAACAAATGCAGGATTACCCTTAAAGAAAGGGCCAAAAGGGCTCTCTCCGAAGCTTCCAAAATCAGGATTCTTTGATATTGTTACAAAACTGTCAAGTTATTATTTGTTATTATGAGAAAAATTAATATCCCCAAGTTCTCTATTAGGATTTAAGTAAAAATTGACTTCCATATTTCAGATAAGGACTTTTACCCCCCCTTACATTTAATAAAAACTACACACAATTCTGCACACTGAAAAATACGAACCTTTTATATAAAGAACAAAGAGACTTCCGAGTTGAATCACAGAAATATTATTTGCTTTAGGCCATGTAATGGTGCACTGTAACTATAAATTATTTGCAACCAAAGTGTATGATAATTCCATAAAGCTGCCACGCTCTACTTCCAAATAATACATCTGGAAGGAAAAAGTCAAATGTGCTTCACCCCACGGCAAGACATAAAACGGCTGCAAAAAAAAAAAAAAATCATTGCCGATTTCTTTCCTTTGAGGTTCCCACCGCATTTCCATGGTGGGCACTGTTATGGGCTGAGTCATGCCCTCACCCTGCAAGATTCATATGTTGAAATCCTAACCCCTGGTCCCTCATAAAGTGACTATTTAAGAGACAGGAACTTTAAAAAGGCAATGAAATTTAAATAAGGTCATTAGAGAGGGTCTTCATTCCATCTGACTGGTGTTCCTATAAGAAGAGGGAGGACATTCAATCACAGGCAACTCAGAGGAAAGGCCAAGTGAAAAGACAGGTATCTACAAGCCTAAGAAGAAACTAATCTTGCCCATACCTTGATCTTGAACTTCCAGCCTCCAGAATTTGTGAGAAAATGTTTTACTGTTGTTTAAAGCACTCGCTTTATGGGACGTTGTTTTAGCAGAACTAGGAAAACTAATGTAATGTAGGCAATTTTCTATTTTCTCCTGTGGTCATGCTATAAAGTCTTTTTGCTTACTCCATTATCCCTCAGCTGCTCACCTGCCATGCTGCCTGGATGATTTAGATAGAATTTTATTTTGAGGTCCATGATAAGATACCAACTTGATTCGCATGAGAAAAGTTTCCATGAGGACATTTATAGGAGTTGGAAGAAAGAGGAACATGGCCACTTTGAAAAATAATGGGCAGCAGATGAAATCAGGGACAGGACTTTCTCAGTGCTCCCTCCAAAGGCATCCTGGAACTTGACCGCAGCCTTCTCTGATGATGCTCTGAGAAAATGAACCTATTATCACTTGTGCAATGACAGATGTCATTCTCAATTTTAAAATACAGTTCTGCTGGTTGGTAGCTATATGCCACACTTTCCTCAAGTATGCCTCATATTCCATCATGTCTAAAAAGTAGGGCTGTACAATGATTGTACAAGGCGGTAACAGCCTTGGCATGCATTTTCAAGCCTGTCATAGTTGTTTGAAACCCAGTTAGACCCCATCATCTTTGGCCTAGTTAAAACCTCCACTCCCTTTGTGGGTGGTTGTGATAGGATATATTCACTCTTCATTTCACTGACCTAAAAACCCAACATATCCCACCAATGCTGGCCATGATCAAATCTAATGGCCAACACCAAAGTCATGTAAATAAGTTACCTTTTCATGAACATTTTCTTTAAACTAGCCCATCCACAAAATCCTGTGTCAAAGCCTGAGGGATAACACTTATGGACCCTAATGAAGATACAGTCCCACGGACTGTCTGTCTCTCCCTACTCCCCCTGTTAGTGGAACTCCATGCTGCCAAAAACTTCCATTAGCCTCCTGATAGCACCCCTAACCTCTCTGGACCTGTAAGTAATCAATTTATTCTGTATCATGCATTTTGGTTTCACTTCCTCATGATGTCTCACCCAATACATCCATCGGAAACTAACTTTCTCCCCAGTCAGGGCTCTCCTATGCAAGTGTCCTTAAGAACACATTAAAAAGAAACCATAACAATAGAAATCACAATACAGGGTCAATCTGTATTGTGTTCTTAGAGTTCTTAGCAGAACTGATTAGAAGATGAATTGATTAGCCCATGTAAAGAAATGAAAGGTGTGTTTGGCTAATAGGAAAGAGCCCATAAATGTCAGCAATTGTTCCTAGAGGAGTAGTTACACCTGTGTCATATCTTCAGTATGATCTCTTCTACTTTAACTTTTATTGTTTTCGCATACATTTTGTTGTAGACTCTCAATTATGATACAATCACAAACATGGGATTAAAGAACCCCCAAACAAAACGGTTCAGATTCATATAAAAATGACTGTTTTCAGAACTACTATTATTTTGCGTTAGGAAGGGTTCTGAGCACTAGCAAGAGACACTCTGAATGCCAGTTTAGGGAAATATATAGTAAGCCAGGAAAAATTCATTCCAATCAAAAATGGAGTGGTTATAAAATAACGATAAATTCACATTAAGGGCAGGCCATGTATATCATATGTATTATCAATCACATATTCTATTCGCCATCAATTTTATTTTATATCATATATTCGGCATTTACAAATGGCTGATGCCTCAACATTGCAGAAATACAGCATAATTTTTGAGGATTTTGACATTTAGTTTAAAATGTACTCACTATTATAAATAAGCACTGGAAATAATTTCATGAGCTTGGTGTGCTTTGAAGCATTGATGTGAAACTGAGGGTGATCTTATTATTATTTCACTTGCTCAAATACTGAGATGAGTTTTTGGATTTGTTTAACATAGCAATTTTTCAAATAATAATTTATTTGCATAGTTATTAATATATTCTAGACCTCTAAAACTGCCCTATTTTCTAAGAATCTCAGTGTGATTTTTTGGCTCTGCATCATTAGATATACCTGCTGAGGGATAGGTTTGTTTCAATATCAGTGGATCATAATTATGCAATTTTTTTTTTTAATCAAGTGTTCAAGTGAAAACATGTTTTTGTTTTAGAAGACACAAAAATGAACGTCACTATTTTTAAACATCTGAGGGAATATAAAATTTATAAAATCTTAAAAATTATGCTGCAATTTTGACAAGACATGAGACGATTTGTGTCAGAGACCAAGTCATATTTTTTACATAATGAACAAATCCTTTTAATAACACTTAAAAATGCACGTATCAATCAGCTCACTGTAGTTAGAAAGGAAATCAAGGTAAAAGATGGAACTAAAGGATTGAAAGAGAAAAAAAAAGTACTCCAAATGAAAATTTAAAAAGCCATCAGATTAGGGCCAGAAAAATTTATTAAATTCAACTCATTGCAACAACAGCTTATAAAAGTTATCATGTGCTTTACGCTGTAAAACATTTAGAAGATTCACCTTTTGATTATAAAACTGGAGAAAGGACTTTAAGTTAGAAGAACTGGGTCCACTTAGAGCATTGGCATGGGGGTTGAACATCATCATTTTTCTGCCATGGTTCCCTTCATTGCCCAAATCCTACAGATAGATCAGCATCTGTGGGTGGGGCATGCTTTTTCTTGTTTAGTTCTGACAGACGGCTTAAGAGGGCGAATGTGCACCAACACCCTTTTATTCACTTTCTCCCACCAACCACAGTCACCCATTGTGTGAAAAAACTACTTACTGATGAGATGAAAACTTCAGGAAAATAAAGCTTTCTGGAAGGCAGGCACTAACAATGCTCACAGTAGCCTGAAATTTCCAGGAGGCAGTTCTTACCGTGGCTAAGGAAAGCACTTTGGGCACTGTGACTTTAATGACACCATAAAAATAACAAGGCATTAAACAAGCCTCAGCCTTAATAGGCTGGAAGAGGGAGAATGGGAAGAAATATTCAAATTATCCCAGTACGACTAATGGCACATTGAGTGGATGTAAATCCATTACTCAAGGTTCTTTAATAACCCTGACGTTTCTCCTACATTCTAAAAAGGAGTGTGAAATAAGGTGAATGACTACCATTCTCAGGTTGCCTTAGAAAGTGCCACTGTAGTCATTGCAATTTGGCACGAGAAAATTGGGTGGAGTAGGGCTGGAATGCAGGAACAGTTTGAATCGTGACTACAAATATAAATGGGTTCCTCAAAATTTCCAACAAAAGGATTTAATGTGATCGATGAAGGCATGAGTCCTGGAAATCTTACTCATTGGGGAAGAAAACACAGACCAAGCAATAGGGGGCCATGGAGTCATTTGGTCCAAACCCTCACTTGGATGTAAAGAATGGGGACCGAAGAGATGAAAGGACTTCCTAAGACAGAGAGGTCTAGAGCCCAGGTTTACTGTCATCTCCTTCAGTGCTTAGAAGCTATGATACACATTTGCGGGGATGGCTGACATATGGGAATCACAGTTGTTAACAGTCCTGAAGATGTAAAGTGAGATATAAATATAAGTAATGCTTCTACTTCTTCAATTGTGAGTTTCAAAGGAAACAAATGGCTTTACTCACCTACAGGGAAAAACTCGCTCATTTTCTTTTTGTAGATTTTGAAATCAACTTCTAGGAAGACGCAGAAGATGATCCGATCCACCTAGAGGCAAACAATAAACACTCAAAGTGAAAGAAAATATGGCAATTTCTTTCCTATAACATGGTCTTAGAACAAACAAAAACAAATGGAAAAACCTCATACAGATGTATTTAGTGAGATAGCTAACTACCTCCCAGCATTCAGTGAAGTTCAAGGGTACCTGTGTGTGTGTGTGTGTGTGTGTGTGTGTGTGTGTGTGTGTGCGCACACACACTCTGTATATAAATAAACCCACAAGCTCTTTGGTGGAAAGATGTTATATAAATCAAATAAGAAATAATAAATGACAATAAGCCACTTTGCAGCAAGCTATAAATAAGAGCTGGGAATCCGACAGGATACCTAGACTTTATGTTCTATAAAACAGCCACTCGAGAGGCACACAGCAGAATGACAATAAAGTATGTCAGTAAACAAAGAGCTCTTTGTCCTACTCTTGTTAGATAAATATATTTATCAAACCTGTTAGTATTTGAACACTGTCCTAAAAAACTTCCATGCAACTTGATTGTCTTGAAGTTGCTTATATTTTAGCGTAATATACTCAGAATTGCAGTAGAAATAAAATATTGTTAGTTGACGGTGACACAAGGTCAATATACCATTTAATTTGGTAGATATTTTGAATCCTAAAAAGTCACCTCAAAAGTAAAACATGCGCACAGTCTATTTATCCTCTTTCAAACAGAGTTTCTCTGTGTTAGGAGTTTCTTTGAAGCATTCAGAGAGTGGTGTGGTACACAGAGACAAGAGGTGGAATATACATAATGCTCATGCTTAGTCTATATTAAGTTGGTGACTCTGAAAATAAACATCCCTTTAGTTCCTTCATTTGAACAATGTAGAAAAAAGTTTGAGAATCACTCAGTCTATCAAAGTGCAACTGATAAAGCATCAAATAAGGCCTTTCTCATGTTAGTAGGGAATGAAATAGGGCATGAGTGCAGCAGGATAAGAAAGAACTCAATGGATATCATCCACCTAAACCTGCAGCTCTCGCAACTTGTGGGGTACAGATCCTGCTTGCCAAGTGTGAAAGTTCCCAGTGAGAGAGACCTGTGGGGTGAGACATGGTTCATGAGGTGAGACCTCGTAACTGGGTCATGAGGAACCAGCAAGACTGATTCAGACCTTCAGAAGTCCATAGATCTGGCTCCTTTATCCCTTCACAGGTCTCTACCTCACTCCACCTCAGTTAAGGTGCACTGCCTTCTGGGCAGGCAATGGATTCCATGCTGTAATGAACAAAAACCATACACCCCTGTAATTGCCCCACAGGACGGATTATAAGAGAAAGCACCTAGCCTTCAGAATTGGAAAGACTAGGGTGCAAATAACCATGTTTCTTTTCTTCTGTTTTCACTTTGGGGTCTGGTGTCCAGCCCTGTTAGCATATCATTAATATATTCTACAAAAACAAAAACTATGTCCATTAAATTTATAGTTTACTTTGCAGGTGAACTATAAATTTAGCTGAATAAATTATTAACTCTGTGTAATAACAAATGTGCATCTCCACTCTGCTTATGGTGTGTTTATGTCCCATGACTAAAGCTCAGAATCATAAAATTGAACAATAGAAAAGAGTTGCCAAAGGTCATGTACTCCATAATAGAAATGCATTTCTAAGAAATTTAAAACATGAATATACAACAGTGTAGAAATACATTGTACTATTTAAATAATTGAGAGGACATTAGGCTGGTGTAGCGCCAGACCCCTGAGTTCCTATGTAAACAGACTGAGCATAAACAGTAAAAAGAAACAGTAATCAAATATTTTCTTTGCCTGTATCCACATTCACCCTACAGAAGCCTCCTCATGTACCTTCAGTCCAGCCCTAAACGTCCCATAATCTGGAGATGTCTAATTCATGAATTTCTGTCTGGTCAAATTCTCAAATTTGAACATGACTCAGTTACTCTTTTGTCAGAACTAAATATGGATACATACAAAGGAGTGCCACACCTAACTTTAGGATAATGTTTTCTGAAGAGGGATGGAAGGTAAAGGATGAGAAAGATAGGGATTTGAGGTATTAGTTAATATTTTATTTATGTAGAAAAAAAGCTTTGAGAAAAATAAGGCAAATGGCTAATAGGAATTAACTATGCTGCATAAATATATTATTTGTTCTGTAACTTTTTGTATGTTTGAAATACTTCAAAATTAAAAGCCCTAAAATTAATAATAAGACCTGTAGCCTTACTATTTTTTCTTAGACACATCCTACTCTCCACCTGTCTTGAGCTGCTTGAGTTGTCTTGAGTTTCCAAAGATAAAATTATACTCATTTCTGTACCTATGATTGCTAAGTTTTCCCCTCCAGGTTTCATATTATTTCTCAGATCACCTAATTGTGACAGAAAAAAAAAAAGCAAAAGCAAAAACTTGGCTTAATAGAAATCTAAGAAGACCAAGCTAAACAAGCACATATTTACTCATTTTATTTTAGAACACTCCTTTCCCTGTGTATGTGTGTGAACATATGTGAGTGAATGTGTGTATATGTGTGTGTGTTTGTGGATTAGCTCTTTAGTGTTAACGCTATTCTCTTATTTGTATTTTTAAACACTATAAAATCCATGTCTAAATTTTTTCAAATGTTGCAAGAAATTGAAACCTTCCCTTTAGCAAATTAGGCTCTGTTATCATGAAGATAATTTGGGTCCAAAATTCAGCAGTCCAGTTTATTTTTTTGTGAGAGAAAATAAATGATGAGGATGAAGCACTTTATTTTATTTATTTATTAATTTGTGGTGTTGGGGATTGAACCTAGGGCCTGCCTTGTGCATGTGAAGCAAACACTCTACCAACTGAGCTATATCCCCAGTTACTTTTATTTTTAAATAATTGAGTGGACTAGTTCTTTTTTCTTAGAAGCAAATTGAATCCAAGAATTAACCTCATTCACCATGTACTTATTGGGTATGTATATGTGTGTGTACATACACATTCTCCAAGGTATTGTTGGACAAGAATTTATTTAGTTTATAAACTCATCTCAGGTACTGAGTACTCTTCTTCCCACAGCTTTCTTGAACTGGAGAGGTGGGATCCCACCCTCATTGAGAGGTGGGATCTAAACCCTTTTCTCTTAAATCTGGGAGGCTTGTGACTATGGAAGAAATGATGTAAATCAATTTCAAAATGATGTAATTCAATAAAATTTCTGCCTGCTTCTCTTGGGAGGCTGTCTCCTGTACATAGTCATCACGCCACGAGGAACCAGAGACCACATGGAGAATCTATATGTAACAATTCCAGCTAACAGCCTTAACTGGAAGAGGGTAGCCTTCAGATGGTTTCCGTTCGAGGCATTTGAGCCACCCCAGCTGATGCCACATGAAGCAGAAATGAGCTGTTGCTGCTAAATGCTGATTGAAAATTCATGAGCAAAGATACAGAAATACATAACCAGAAGTCTGATATTCTTCCAGCTTCTTCCTATCACCACTTTTTGGAGTTTTGTTTTTCTAGCTAAGAAAGTACTTGACTCATGTTGAAAAGGTCACACTGAAGTAGAAATCCAGGAAACAGAATCTACCAAGAGGTGACAAGAAGAACATAGAATGTCTAATTGCTACATGGCTGAAAAGACTGGAGATCTAACTTGTGCAAAGGAGAACGGGCTGAGGTTTTTCATGCTAGCCCTGGATAAATTTCAAGAGAACCTAAAAGAATGGCTCATTAATGAGACAGAGGAGTGTGGTTTCCATTCTCTTTTCTTTAAGTCATGGGAAATTTTTGTAAAATGTTGCTTGTTGAGAGACTATTCATTTATTCACTAGTTACTAAATGGGCAACTTGAATTTGTTGGGTCTAGTCCACATACCATTCAATCACTAGAAAATATGAACCCAGAAACTGAGTGATTTTTTTCCTTGAAGCCAAAATTTAATTAATGACAAAAACTCAGGTATCTTAACTGTACAAACAGCATTCTCTCTATGATATCTCCCAGATGGAAACACATGGGATTGAATTTCTAAGCCTATAACTAGCTCTGTGACATTGGGTGGGCCTTCATCTCTGTGGCCCACCAGTTTTCACATCTGTCTAATGAAAGGATTGAACTATATCATCTCTATGGTTTCTCCCTCCTCTGTGATGATCTCTGTGGCTGTTTTATGTTGTCAATTTAGTAAGCTTGAGCTACATTTCTCTGAGTGGTTCTGGATTAGGGCTGGCCACAGAGAAATTTCCATGAGATTTGTAGGGCAGAAGCACAGCTGTAGCCATTGTACTATATCGGTTTAGAGCTCTGGGCAGATTGCACACTTCTTCACCTGGGTGTAGGGTGGCGGCTATTGGACTTCTCTAGCTCCTGCCAGTCTTTGCCTCCAGTATTTTTTGGGTCCTGTTATTCACACATGTTCTCTGCAGTGAGGACACAGGGTCCTTCTGTAGCTTTAAGGCCCAGTGAAGTGAGAGACAGATATGCATGCCAGTTTGTCCCTGTGGAGTCCAGTTTTGGCTCATGACTTCATGTTCTCTCCCATTTTGCACTGAACTTCCCTCATTAACACCTGCTCTTGATCACTGCCCTGCTGACATACTCCAGGCACTGATTGGATGCTTTCCATAGATTTCTTAACCAGCTGCTTTAATCATCTTCTTCATCACTATGACCAAAAGAAAGACTTGACAAGAAGGAAAAGTTTATTTGGTGCTTAGGGTTTCAGAGGGCTCAGTGCATAGATGGCCAACTCCATTGCTCTGGGCTCAAAGTGAGGCAGAACATCAGGACAAAACAGTGTTGCAGAACAAAGCAGCTCAGGATGTGGCAAGAAGGAAGCAGATATAACCTAGTCAGCAGAGACAAAATATAAACTCCAACGACATGCACCCAGTGACCTATCTTTTCCAGTCACACCCTACCTGCCTGGGTAGATTACCACCCAGTTAATCCCTATCAGTAGATCAATTCAATGATTAGGTTACACCTCTCATAATCTGATCATTTTATCTCAAAATATTGTTGCATTTTGTCACATAAG